AAACCCCACCAGACACCAAACCACCACAGCTACTCAAAACGAAATCGTCAACCCATCTGAACTGTTGAATATTATGGTAACACAAATTTAGCAATAGAAAGGCTGCTGTAAAACTCATACTGCCGGTGCCACCATCATAACTTTCAACTGCACTTATCCTACTGATTGACTGTTTTATTTTTAAAGATAGATTTACTATAATGTCAGATCATGGGGCAAAGAAATGACAGAACCTTAATGTGGGAAATAAAGAACAAGAAAAAGGGAAGCATGAATAGTAATTTGGGGATACGAGTAAGAAGACACTTGATCCCAGCTTGAAAGACCAAAATTAAGAGCAAGAGTGGAGGAAAAAAAACTTCAGAATTAGATATTAAAATTTTACGTGTTTTCAATTCAATATAACTCCTAAAATCTTTGAGAATTTGTCTCATCACTGTAACACTTACAGTGGTTATATGCTATATCCCACACAGGTCTTGCACTACACACATATCATAATTGCATATAACACGGGCAAAAAACTTGGTTGCTGGCAACACAGGAGCACAACTATTTAGCATTCTGATTCTACAGAGGAATAACTACAGTTGCTAAAAACTGCATAATTCTTTGCAGCAGTCAGTAGGTAGTTAAACACTCTGAAGAATACCTGGGGTTATATATTTAATACTTTAAGTGTAGGAATAGATACCCTTTATTTCCAGTAATTTTTTTAGAATGTCAAAGATAGATGTTGAGAAACTTCAAATAATTGCAGTCACAGTTCATCCTTCTCAGTTGTTTCCCTATAGTGATGATATTTAACAAAGCATTATTGAAAAAAGTAAGACATTCTGACTTTTTTATGGCTTGCTTCATTCTCATCTTGTGACCTTACCATTCTGCTTGTTATTATATTAGATCTTACATTAGAGAATAAAAGCAGAGAGATTAAACATTCTGAAGGTTGGCCAGACTTCATGAAACATGTGGTGCTTTATTCCCTGTGAGAATAACAAACCCACTAACCAGACCTTAAAATACAACTTTGTAAAATAAATACAGTGATGAATTCTGTCAAGGGCATAGGTTAGGACTCTGAACAAACATTAGTTATCTATAAGAAGGGTCAAACTATAACTATTCTGGTTTTGTCATATATTCTTTGTTTCCATTATAGTCACAATTAATAGTATTGACTATTTACTAGTGGAAGTAGAATATGAGCTAAATGAAAGCATACTGACAAGCATTAATTTTTAATACATTTTAAGATACTTAAATATAAGTTAGAAATAAAAGGAGCTAATTCTCATCACAGTCAGGCATCTTTTGCACTGATTTTCAGCTTTAACTCCTCCTAATACTTGGTTATGTTTGAAAGCTGCTGATTTTTTCTGACTTTTTGGAAGTCCTCTGTTCAACAGCCACCCACTTTCCTCTAGTTGAGGGACAGAAGCTAAACAACAAACCCAATAGACCACTTAAAAACCCCTGAAGCAAACAGAAAAAACAAACAAACAAAGAAAGTGAAATCTGTCAGCCACATAGAACATTGTAATTTCTTATATACAGTCCTTCTCTTTAATGATCAGCACAGCTGTAGCGGACTAAACATGACTTCCAAAGCAAATGCTAAATACAATTCCCTCTACTTAGATTCAATAGAAGGCTTGCCCACATGTTAGAGCTCTCAATGTCCTACAGTCTCTATAAAATACAGTTAAATTTACCTTTTCTCTATTTAACCAGAAAAGATTTACTTCTTAGTAAGAAATCATGTGAAGAATTTAGTTTCTTAAGTCTTGTGTTCCCACATCTACACTTTCTTTCTGCATCAGTATATCTGAATATGCAACAAATACCTGTCTCAGTGGTCCTGTCACTTACAGTGGTGTGTGCTCAACCCTTTTTTATTTTAGTATGACCTGATCTTGTTAATAGCTAAATTTGACTCATTGGGTATGGCTGATAATGAGCTATTGCTAACTATTGCTGTTACTGTTATTCCTTGTGAGGCACAGAGAAAGGTAATGGCATACATCACAGCATATGCCTCTCAACGCTGTGCAACAGCTGTCATTTTGAATGATCTGAAACAGAAATGAGCTGGCTCAGTATCATTCACTGGATACCATCTGTTGTTCACACCATAAGTACCAACTAGTAAGGTCCAAAACACATGACTTGTGGCATTTGAAACAACCATTACCATCTGAAGCCTTCTGTGTCTGGTCATGTGAATTGGCAGAAGGATAAACCACATGAGAGGAGGGACAGTGAATGACTGAAGATGCTCACCCCTGTCATGATCAAACCCTGTAAGTGAATTTTGTAAGGAATCTCGATAAAGGAAAATGTCAGGTTAGCACAAACCTTAATCCCAGGTCAACACAGACCTCTGCTGTCCGTGACTGTTCTTCATAGATCTCTGTGTCTCTTTTCTTTTCAGTACTTCAAATGTCTCTGTACATACTTATTCTTTGAACTCTTTCGTCCTTCAACTGGCAGGGGGAGAAGATGGATCTGTTGAGCAAACTGTAGTGTCTGTGCTTGGAAGTAGGTGAAAAACAGCTGTAAAGAAGCTGATAAAAAATTTACTCTGGAAACCCAGCATGGGAGGGACTGAAACTATATCCCCTCTCCTAATTAAAACTGTGATAAAATGGAAACATGCTTTAAATCACTACAGTGCAAACAGGGAGACTGAAAAAGCCCTCTCTCTAAACAAACCAATACCACTGAAGGATAGCTAAAACATGAAATCAACTGCAAAACAGCTCCCTGGATTTTCCCTCTTTGTGATTCTGGCATACACCTGATCCTAGATCTTTGGGGTAATACTACTTTTCCATTTGAAATATTTATACAGCACAGTGCCTTAACCTCCTAAGTCTGTGTAACAGCCTGCCTGGCCTTCCAGGTAAGTATGAACAGCCAAGGTTTTATATCTTAGGATCTCTTTCCAAATGTGTTTGAGCAAAATATATTTTCAAACTTTTCCCCTTATATTTTAAATACCATCATCATAAATAACAATGGATAGACCAAAGTGAAGTATTGAATAGGCCAATTCAAGATGTATGTTTGTGGATCTTCTCTAGACCTTTCTGTGATGTAACTCAGAAAGGCTACATGATGTCAAAGAGTATCTTCTCCTTCAGTGTTATTATTACTAAAATTAGCAATGCTTTTTGGAAACACAGATGGAGGTAGTACTCTGAAGAGAAAATAAACACATGGTTCCTACACAATGGTGCCTATAGTCTAGCTCAGAAAGGGTGTCCGTGTGGCCTAGATGACATAATGCAAAGAGAAGACAGGCCTCAAAACAAGCTCTTCAGATAAGTACTAAAATGCAAATTATGCTCCCTTTTCCCTATTTCTAGGGGGCATATGAGGATCTTTATTCCCTTTTTTCAAAGTTGTCTGTGTTTGAAAGGGAAGTCTCTACTGAAGAGGCACAGGTGAGAAGTGTATTTTGAAGAAGAATTAGAACCAAAAATATAAAAAGCAGAAGACAGTTGCAAGAATAGGACAGGAAGGACAGTACATTGAGGAGACCCTAGTAAAGAGTCTAGAGGACAACACAATTATTGGGGAAAGTGTCAGACTAATGCTTAACATGAGATGATGAAACAGGTGAGATAATCATGGGAGTGTTCAGTGAGGAAGAGGAGCCTGGCTAGGAAGCTAAGGCAGACTGCAGCTGGGAAACTGGAGTTGTGGGCTGGTGAGGTAAGCTACCCAGTTACAAGAGAGAGCACAGGAAGCATCCTCTCAAAAAACAGGTACAGGAGGGGCTATGCTACAAAACACTGGTGCAACTGCTGCTTCTGTAGGCATGCATACCCCTATATGGACAAAGTATTTAGCTGGTAACAGCAACAGTAGGGGTTCAGCCACTGAGCATTGCTGTCCAGGAGGCACTAGGCTGTTACTTGTATTTAAGAAGTTTAGATTTGTGTAGACACTGTGGTAACACCAGCTACAGTCATACAACTACCTTCTATTATCAACATGTAATAATACATCAATGGCATGGTTTTGAATGATTTGTCACCCACATCCAAAGATTAAATCTTACTGCCACTGGTAGTGAAGGCAACCCCTCATTAATTTCAGAAACACAAGGTTTTCACCTGTGGGACTTCAGACCTCAGTTTGCTGTCTTTAGCCCATGCAAAACAAAATATGATAAAAAATATATTTTAAATTCTATGGTCATTTCAGAAATAATCTGTACATCCTTCATAAGTAATTTAACTTCTTGAGGAGAAGGAGAGTACAGAGTAATAAAAGTATATGGACTTTATGAGGATAGGAATTTCTATTTTTTATTTATTTATATGTTTTCTTACCTCATTTTTTCTTAAAATTTACTCTTCTTTCCTTATGAAATGTATAACTGTTGTGTAGTGTTGCTGTAAATGTACTACATTACCAACCACAGTGCCTCTTGAGCTGACTTCATTTTCATTCTGGGTTTGATCCCTGTATAGTTAGTATCAAAAGTGCTTTATAAATGCAAGGTATCTGTAATGCACATTTAATTTTGCATTATCTGCAGTGACAGAACGTTTTTCATGTCATTGTGTTTGGCAGAACAACTATAGCCCTTTGGAAGCCTTTCTTATTTCTTAGGTGTGTATTAATGCTATTACTGAAAGTACTGAAGACTAACACATATATATGTATGTGTATATATATGCTTTTGTACAGGTAACAAGTTCTGGGTTTTCAAGGACACTACTCTTCAGCCAGGTTATCCTCATGATTTGATAACACTTGGGAGCGGAATTCCTTCCCATGGGATTGATTCAGCAATTTGGTGGGAAGATGTTGGGAAAACCTACTTCTTCAAAGGAGATAGGTTGGTATAGGAATTCTGCAAGGAAGCAATTTGATGGATATCAGCTAAGAGTCTTAATCTTTTCCTCTATTTCTCAAAAGAAGTCGTCAAGCCACTTAAAATAGTCATTTTCTGTGGATGAAATTAACTCCAATGCGTAGAGGGACATACTGTTTTTACATTTCTTATAACATAAATTATATTTGTGTGAATATACTGAAATGAGTATATGTATATCTAGTGATAAGTTATGTTTTGGAAGTCAACAGGCAAGTCACAGTTGTGGCAAATTTGAACTTAAATATTCAAAGTAATGTAGTTATGTACGCTCTTACCTGCTCCTTTTTATCCGTGTTTCTAAACCCTAGCACATAAACAGGCAAGATATGAGCCAAAGCTTTTTAAGGTGAAGATGCATTTTAGTATTTTAAGTGAAAATTACTTCTCTGCTACTATTTAAAAATGTGATAAGAAAGGGAAATGACAGCTAAACCAGGAAGCTGGACAAAAACTTGAGCAGCTCCCTAGGAATTATTTTTAAAATAAACTTTACAGTTCCCTTCAAAAGGGACACTTACTTTTATGATTAATAGAGAACTGAAAAAAGCTGTAAAAACAAAGTTGTTTTCCAGTCCTGAAAGAGACTTGCACTAGTCACTTAGAGTCTCTGTGTCTTCATTTCCCTGTCTGTAAAAATAGGGGAAAAAATATCTGTCTGTTTCATAGAGATGTCAAGAGAAGTCATTAATTTTTGAAACCTTGCAAGTTATCTAAATATGAATTTTACAGGTTTTCAGGATGTTTCTATGTTTGTTGATTGATGTATCACTGTGAAAATCCTGAGTACTCAGAGATAATTTATTCTTTGTTACTAATCGTAATGTTTGTTGTATTAGTATTATTAAAAGTATGATGTTTGCTATTGTTACTGTGTGGTAATTAGGATTCTGAGACACTGACAATACTCATGGATCACTTAAGAAATGTATGCACATCATAGAATATGTTTAGCAAGAAAATTAAATACAAAAGTTTTTTTAATTTAACTTGCCAATTCTTAACCCGCTTGAAATCCATCTTTTAATTTCATTGAAAGTTTAAAGCCGGAGAAATGCCCCACAGGGAGAAATACAGAGGAGGTTAAACCATTTTGTTTTTAAAAAAGATTACGATGTGAACTGATTAGAGTGTCTAAGTACCTATGCAGGGACAAAATATCATCCACTTAAGGACTCTTTAATATAGCAGGAATGATCATAACAAGGATTTCTAAAAGCTGAAGTCAAATGAATTCAAATTAGAAAAAGGGTCAGGTTTTTAACAGCGACCAGATTATAAATGAAAGTGATATATTCTCCGGCTCTTGATGTCCTGAAATGGTGAGTGGCTGCCTTCTTATGTAATTTTTCACATGAATAAAACTCATTTAAGAAAAAAAAAGATTCTCCAAGAAAACTATGCTCTAAATTGATATACCTTAAATTAGTGGAGCCAATTGAAATATGAAATGACCCACCCAAATATATCAGGGTACACAGAGATACTAGAAAGAAAATATGTTCATTCTTAGAACCAGCTTATAATAAGATATGCATAGCAATTTAGCCAGCTGCGTAAGGACAAAAATACTATCAACATTACCTGTAATGTAAATATCACAAGTGTAAATACTTCTTACATGTTCAGGTTGCCTAGAATTTGCGTGCTGAAGCTTTTTAAATTGGAGAAGGGCTGGCTGGCAAAAAGGCACAAATGCAGGTTGGAATTTTGTATCACACTACCTATTTAATGATAATGAAATGAAAAACTACTGTAATGCGTACACATAAGGATTTAAATTAAGATTGCTGGGAGTATTTTAAGCTGAATCTACTGCCATTTGCAGGATTAAAATGTTATCTAAAACATTAATATTTTTTTTTTGCATGTGTTGCTTCTTTGTGTGTCACTGTGCAGAAGTCCTAGACATCAGAATTGCTGCTATTATAAATGAGATGCGTGCTGATTTAGTTGTCCTCTTTCTGCTTACATGAAACGGTTGTCCAGTCAACAAATAGATTTCTTTGTAATCTGGTAATACGTTTAAAGAAAAGAAGTCAAGTATTCCCATTTGTGGCTAATGAATGTAGCAAATTTTAGAAGGAAAAAAAATATGTAGTTACTCATCTGCTATCTTATAAATACTTCTGTCGTTTTTGGGTTTTGTCTTTTAAAAAAAATTCAGGTACTGGAGGTACAGTGAAGAAATGAGATGCATGGACCCTGGTTATCCCAAACCAATCACAATTTGGAAAGGTATCCCAGAATCTCCTCAGGGAGCCTTTGTCCACAAAGAAAATGGTATGGAGACATATTCTTATTTTAATGATTTACTAACACCCTTTATGTAAGATAGAATAGTAGAGGGGTGATTCACGATACAGGTTAAGTGGCAAAGAAATTCTTGATTTATGAACAGAATATTTCCAGCTATAGAACTTGCTGTTGTGAAAATGGCTGTTTGCTTTCATGTCTCATTTAAAACAATGGAGAAAAACCTTTCAAATGTAGTATCATAAACTTTAATTTCCTTTTTTTTTTGTTTGTATCTTACTTATTTTTGTTCTCTGCCAAATTATAGTACCTTTTAAAACAAGCTTCCTAACCGCAGTATATCTCTATTTTAATTGTCAAGGTGGTGGCTGTTTAAACAGCTTAGAAAATATTACTTTCATTATGAACAACTAGAAAAGGGAAGAAATATCTTTATCTAAGCAGAAATATTCATAGAAATCTATGTAAATCAGAGATGTCAGAAGCCCATGATGCAGAAATGCAGATTGCAGGAATGTTATTATGAAATGCTGTTACCTGTATCAAGAAGCAACGTCACATACAGGAGCCTATAATCAGGTGGCCGCACCTCCCAATGAGTGAGAGCAGCCAAAGACTCCTTCAGTTTATGAGAATTCGGTGCTATCCAGGGGCTGCTGGAAGGCTGCCAACAGAGCCCTCAGTTGCAGTGTTTAGATCCCTTTGACGGGAATAAAAATATGCATTTGTCGTCACTTATAATTTTTGGAGAATTTTTGTATGGCATTTATGATTTATTTATTAGTAGGTTCTGAGTTTATTCTGTTTGCCTCACAGACAGCACATGTATATATTGTCATACTATTTTAGTTTCCTTTTAATAAGGGGACAAAAATATTTCTTTCCCTGTATAAACCATTTCAGTCTCCTGTTTCAACCTGTAACTTGATTAAATAATTTACCATGGAAATGTTTGGGGATTTTTTAAAAATATGTTTAATTGTTTCCTTGCTTTGTCTCTGTTTTATCCAGAAGCAGAAACCCTCTCTGGATTCTGGCCTTTTGGCAAAAATGAATTTTTTGGTGTTGTTTTTATTTGCTTTTTTTTTGTTTTTAGCTGGAAACTAGGTCAGTCAAAATTGTATTCTGCATACATCACAGTCAATAATTATTGTAAATACACATATATGTGGAAGTGGGCACAAACATTATGTATGCACAGACAAACATAATGGATATATTCTTAGCTTTCTTCCCTTCATTATATTTTAAGCATATTTTTAAATATTTACATCCAAAAGGAATTTTACATATATATTTATATATATATATACATGTATGTACGTATGTATGTATGGGTTTGCGTTTTTTTTCTTACCTTGCTTGCTTTCCCCATAATAAGTTTTCTGTACTGAGCTCAGGTACATGTGAGGGTGGTGAGGCACTGGCACAGGTTACCCAGAGAAGCTGTGGCTGCCGCCTTCCTGGGAGTGTTCGCTGGATGGGGCTGGGAGCAACCTGGTCTGGTGGGAGGTGTCCCTGCTCATGGCAGGGAGTTGGAACTGGATGGTCTTTAAGGTCCCTTCCAACCCAAACCATTCTATGACTATGATTCTATGTATGTCATTACAAATGAAAATTATCTTACTCTAACTTTCAGACTAGTGGGTTGAAAGGACTGCAGAGGCAGAGCACTCATTCCTAAGGCAGGAAAGACTAGGTTACATCAAAGCCACTTCTTTTTTTTACCCCAGTGGCTTTGACAGTCTGACCAATACTTTGTATGAAGAGGGTGGTAAAACATGACATGAGATCATGGTGGAGGGGAAGGGAAAAAGGTCATTCCTGGGCTTCTCAGAAAGCCTGAAAGGGCCCCAGGGCAGGACTGAAAATGGCGCTATAAAGTTCCCAAGAAGACCACTAAGACATTTTCCCTGAAATCAAGAAAACAGACATCTTAAAAACAGTTCACAACTCCACTGTTGTTTGTATGAGGAAAGAAAGAAAAGCAGATGCAAATAAGAAGTACCACAGCTTAGTTAGAAAGAAGTTGATTATATTTTGTCTGAAACTGTTTTCCTTTCTTTGAGCAGAAGCAGAGTTGACAAGAAAGTTTTACTATATAGCTTCACGAGGCAACATCTGAAAGCATGTCTTCCAGTTAGTCTATTTTGTTTTAAATAATACTTTTTTCCTTCCCTTGTCCTTCTATTCTGTAAACTGTGCAAATGAACACCTGCAATAAATCTGATCATAAAAGGATTTCCTTCACTGTCCACAAAAATTTTGGGTAATCTTGCAGTAAGAGGCTTGGGAAAGATGAGAAAAAACAATTTCTTACTCTAGTCAGCACCCTGACTCGGTGTCCCAGAAGCTTGGTAGATAACATCTTTGAAGCTCTCCCTGATATTTCCCATATTGTGATTTCATTTCTAACACTGTGGTAGAAACTCTTAGCAGGAGGTGAAGACGAAATTTGCTTTCTGTTGCTCCATGGAATCTGAGATCGCACAAAGTTCTCCAGATTGGCAAGATCTTTCTTTCTGCCTTGACAGCAGCATAGAAAATCTCAGCTCCCAACTAGAAATTCTGCTAATGTGGATGGTGGGGTAATTTTTAGAAGAAAGAGAAAAGGTAGTCTACTTTATTAGCCCATTGAGCTTTTTTTTTGTCTTGTGCTTACTCCACTCCTAATTTGAGTTTCTGTTTGACACATTAGTGACTACTAAGCCCTTCCATGCTGTTTGGGTCAGGCATTGTGCTCACTACTCTCAGCGGCTAGCACCTGCAAAATTGTAAGGAGCAGCTCCCAAAACAGGCTCAACAAGTCAAGCAGACTAAATGAAATCACTTTCAGCAGCAGTGTGAAGTCATTTGTTCTGCCATGAAAAGCAGTAAAACTACTCAGTCTCTTGGAACTACCTTTCTCTGCTGGTAACTTCCATCTTTCAGCTGTTACAGCCTGTTATCCTGGTTCCTGCCTCAGCAAAATCACAGAAGATTTTAAACTCTCTTCAGAGTTTTCCGGTGGAAAATACGCTCTGGTTGAAGAATTTTTACTGGATCTGTAGGGTCTGGCAATTCATTTGCTGCTTTGATTTTAACAGTTTTAATTTGATATTTTGATGAATAATAACAATTAATACTAACTAACGTCAGTATTCTGACATATATATACCCCTGATGTATACATACATGTATTCTATATAGATGTCAGAACACAGGTTTAGAGATGTCATATCTGTATATGGTCTCTCTATATGTATTAGAATATTGATAGAGACGATATATCAAATTTCCACACTTGAAATATTTATCCAGGGCCAGTATGTACAGTGCTTTCTTACACACATGTTCTTATATGAAATGCAAAGATAGGGTAGCCTGTGGCTCAAAATACTGAAATTTTGCATTTGATAATATTTTTCGTTTAATATACAGATTACTTTAAGGAACTTTATATATGTTAAAATTTTAAAATGTGATCATATTTGAAGAATTACAGTCCTTTTTTTTGTTTTGTTCCAATCAGAATAGAAGGCATTTTATGAACAAGCCTCCTGACTACTGTTTTGATATGGCTCAGTGTTTCGCTTTTCTTTTTTCTTTTTAAGCAGTATTATACCTTTCTGTAGATACATTAACACATTCTGAGATAATAAAACTGCAAAAGATTAAGGAAAAGAAAGCTGTACCTTTTCAGTGGCTAGGAAGGCTATTAAAATTACTAAATAGTAAACAGCTAATGCAGAAGAATGTTCAAATATTCTATATATTCTTAAAAGTGGCAGTAGATGATGATTTTTTTTTACAGTTTGAGCTGTAAAATAGACTATCAAGTCATTTTTTTTAGAACTGAAAGAAACTGACTGCTGTTTGAATAGGTGATTTCTAATATTATCTCCGGATAGCCAGTTACTGATCTTTTCAGGAAGCATTATTAGAACGACAAATAGTGCCCAGTCTGGTTTAGTATTCTTAGTGGCCTTTAGTACTACAGGAAATAAGCTGAGGTCTATAAAATGAAGGTAAGGTAAAATTCAGCTGTTTGCATTCAGTTCATAAGCAGTACCAGGAAGTTCACTCATCCTGAATATTTGTTTCTTGCCAGATCAATGCTATTTTTCAGCTGGGATAATAAAGTAATACAGATCTTTGGCAAGGAGTCAAGGGTTTTTTTCCATTTAGGCATGTTTAGTAATAACATTGGATTGTGCCTGAATGATCAAATACCAGCTTTTGGGAGAAAACTTAAATCTGGTTACACCTGTTTCCTCTTGGCAAAGCTGCTGTTATTTCATCCAGTTTCCTTCTTCTTAAGTGCAGCAGTAGGCTATGTGACATTAAAGTGGTTCAATTCTCATTTCTGGCTGACATAGCATTGCAGTTTGTTTCAATAGACTTCCCATCTTGAAGAGCTTGTGATGCTTTGAAGTCCTGGTCCTAATGAGTCCAGCTCTGGTTGGGTTTTCAGTGAATGAACAAATCAGCTGCACCCTAGGCTGTCAAAGATCATATTCTCTGGAATTCCTTTATTTCTTTGTAGTAATGGAAGAAAATTAAATCTCAGTTTATTGAATTAAAAAAACACACCCCGATGTTAGATTTTCTAGAGGCAGTAAAGAAATGAAATTTGTGAAGAAGACTTGAAAGACCTGTAACTGAATTCTATTCCTTACACCTTTTTAATTTTTTAATTACAAAATAATTTGATACCAGTAGTTTCAGTCATAGTGTGCTGATGACATGATTTGATCCGCTATGACCATGAATAATTGCACTTTTCTTCCTCAGGCTTCACATATTTCTACAAAGGAAAAGAGTACTGGAAATTCAATAACCAGATGCTGAGGGTGGAACCTGGCTATCCCAGATCCATCCTCAAGGATTTTATGGGTTGTGATGGACCAACAGATAAAGACCGACACAGCCCTCAAGATGACGTTGACATTGTCATCAAACTGGACAACACAGCCAGCACTGTGAAAGCCATAGCCATCGTCATTCCTTGCATCCTGGCCTTGTGCCTCCTTGTCTTGGTTTACACTGTGTTCCAGTTCAAAAGGAAAGGAACACCCCGCCACATACTGTACTGCAAACGCTCTATGCAAGAGTGGGTGTGATGTAGGGTTTTGTTTTTTTTCTTTCCCTCCCAGGAGTTTGTGATAACTTGAGACTCAACACAAGAGCTGTTATGCAGTTTCCTAGCTAGGAGCAGGCATCTGTCAGTCTGAAAAAAAGCTGATCTTTAAAACCCAGGGGGTTGCCTGTCCTGCGTATAAGTGGCGATTCGTTCAGCTGGGAAGCTTCCATGATACACAGTATCTGCTGTTTCTTCAGTCCTTTGTCTTTCTTTGTCATTCAATTCTAGGCCTTTCCTCTGCACGCTCAATGCCCTATAAACTATCAGGATTAACTAATGAAGAGCTCCAGTGTTTCTACATTTTTCCCTTAAGGCCTGTTCCCCTTTGAAAAATTTTTTGCTGGAAGTAATTTTTTTTAGAAAAACACAACAACCCACAATGGAACTTTCAGGAATGTGAGAAGACCCAAAACAGCTTTGTCTCCAAAGAGGATTGCATTCTGTCTGCTATGGATAAAGTCCTATACTCCTACTTCCAGTTTTGTCAGGTGGGAGACTCGGATGACACGCAGGACTTCAGACTGTTTGGACAGCCATTTTCCAACAAACAAGGGGCCAAAATATCTGCAATATAGTAACAGCCTTAATAATACATTCACTTTCTGTTTTTTACGGCTGCTCTGGACTACGTCCTCAATGTTTTAAACTCATTTATACTCATTACTATATTCAAGCAGAACCTTTTTATTGATTTGTTTGATTTTTGGTTGGTTTTCCTGCATAATCTTTCCCAAGCTGTACCAAGCCAACTGCCTCAGGCCTTTCATAGGTCTGTCAGGAGAACTCATTCCAAAGCATGGTAAAAAGCAGTGTGTCTCTGAAGTGAATTTCAATGAACAAAAGCAACAGTCATACTATAGAGAAACTTGATGCTGGTATTACATTGGTGGTGTAACCCTTTGAGAACTATTGCATCCATTTTCAGAGTCTGGTGGATGTTAATCTTGGTTGTCATTAAATGATAGCATTGTGTTTGGCTAATACAGGTTTTAAAAGAAAATAATTTTTTTCAAAACAGATTTCCTGTGGCTGCAAGTGAGTGTTTTTAATTATTTGCATTATTGATAGAAAAGCATTTGTAACACAAATAGAAAACACTATATATTTACCAAGTACTTTCTGGTTAAAGGAACCAAACCTATTTTAATAACTTCTACCACTTACAAAGGATTTTTCTGAGCTGGCAACAGTTTTATAGCTTAGCCTCTTATCTTCAGTGTCTTAAATTTCTCTTTTAAACTATGTTGCATGATAATTCAATTTGCCTCTGCAGAGGTAGAGTTACAGTTTCAAAGGAAAGCTAAAATGATGACTCTGATATTGCATGAGTATCCTCTGGTGTGCTACCCCTTTGCATGATCACCATAGTTCTCAAAGGGTTAGTCAAATTTCTGGCCTTCAGCCGAACATGATATCACTGACAGAGCCAAGAGACCACCAAAGCGTTTTGTCATTCTGTGTAATTTGTGCTGACAGCAGTATTGTCATTTTCATGTGACCTGCAGAGCAGGTTTGTATCAATATTTTTTTCCTAGAGAAAAGTCAGCAACTGACAGACCTCTTTATTGATTTTAGGAGCTGCTTCTTGCAGTGATAGGCTTTACAGTCACTGGGCTGTGAACTTATTAAAGATGGTCAGAATGATGCACCCCAAAAGTCAGACACCTGGTTTTTTATGAAAGCCAGGATTTGAGGGGAGTAGCTTTTGCAACAATGAACAGCTTGCCTTGAACTTGATTATTGACCTGTTGACTGTCATTACCAAGTTAAACATTGTCTTCTGTGAACAGCTTCACTGTCTGAATTTCCTTAAAAGTGTACTGTCCTATGTCTTTGATCTTTGACCTTTAACTTGCAAACTGGCACAAACTGAAGGGAATCTGGTGTTGCAAATGAACTATGATGACTTTTATTTCTTAAAAGGCCTGATATACATCATCCAAAATTCAAGAAAAAAAATTGGAAGTGTTTTCATAGAAAAGAACCGACATAAACTAAAATATTTATGATAGATCTGTAGAAGGGTATTTTGCTATGTATACATGCACACTCTAAAAATGAACTACAGTAGAAGTTAATTTTTATTTAACTTGAATACAATTTTCAGTATAAAATTATCATTTCTACAAATAGCTAGTTATTAATGAAAAGGTTATAGGAAAGTATTAAAATACTTGAAATGGCCAGTATTGGCTTTTAGATAAAATGAGACTTTTATACTATATTCAAACAATTTCTTACTGGTTTCTTAATCCACATAACTGGATCACTTTTTAGAGAGTGTAGGTATATATACATATATATTATGGTTATTATTATTTTGGTAATGATAGCTTGACTGCCTTGAATTTATATTTATATTGAGCATAGCATGAAAAATATTATGCCTTTTTGTTCAATTACATGCTTTTATATTGATTTGAGGACTTATTTTATTAACATATATGGCATGCTATAAAGCATTGCAAACTTATTTCTTAGAGCATAAACAGATATACATATGTACGGCTAACAAAAATGAGGATTAGAAAAAGATATAGTTTTACAACAAATATGCAATGCAGATGGCATTTTGGAGATGTTTTGTAGAGGTACTGCATACTATAGCTTAGAAGTGCACTAGTATCAGCCCATAGCATTGTTTAGTAAGTCCAATTCAGTTGTTACTGAAAATATAAATCAATTGACAGTTAAGTAACATAGGATATTTACTGCACATCAGCTCATTTGGTGAATTTGGAATTCTATCCCTGTTTGTCATATATATTAGAATGTGTGTGCGTGTTTGTATACTTGTAAATGCACACAAACACAAACATACATGCATATTTTAATACATGGAGAGTTTTTTATTGTCAACAAACTACTATAATTTACTTTCTGCTACACACAGAACAAAATGATTCATGATGCTGTTCAATTTTGTCCCGTGGATAGTTGGTGGAAAATTCTAACAGCACTACTTATTCTGCATTTAGTTTTCCTCTACAATAGGAGAACTGATACTATCCTTAAGTCAGAACAGCAGCTCATCTGGTTTTTTATTCGCTTAAAAATTTCACTTCAATTTTGAAATATCTGTCATGGCAGCTTTAACTTTTTGTGCAATTGTTTCCCTGACAGTAATGAAGTGCTGAGCATGTTGACTGTTGTTCTTTGATAAGGTAACAAAAATGCTTGTATTTGGAGAATTAAACTTTAATTATGCAGGAAGGTAAGTGTGATAAGTCTAGTGCTTGGTATATGGTACATCACAGATACATAAATACGTGGTAAGTTGATTGTTTAATCTATTTTCTTTTACTTAAAAGTTCATATGTATTATATACTACGGGAGAAAAAAAAAATATTTTATTGGCATGTTTATGTCATGCAGAGCAAGATTGTGTCAGCATTTCTGTTACATACTCCTGTTTTCAGTAGGTTATAACACAGTCATAAAGATTTGCTTTAAGTAAAAGATGTAGGAGCAATTGTGTTCACTGTAATTCCCAAATACATACTGACTAGTTGGAAATTATAGAAGTTCAGAGTAATTAGTGATGTTGCCTGATCTAGTTTTGAACTCAAACAAGTAGGAGTTCCAAGACAATGTTATTTTTTGAACTGTTCAAAAAATAGAGATTTTTCTACCAGGGCCTCTAATTATGAGAATTAAGAAAAAACAAATTGGAAATGTTTTCAGTTCTGCAATCTGAGTTCCTGCTCATGTGCCGTAACTTTTTTCATAGTTTTTTAATAAACCTTTCCATATTGCTATTGTCATGATCTGTACTGTGGAACAATACAAAACTGAATATGCATTATGTTAATCAGTTACAGTCTATCAAGCTGACTATACAGAGTCTTGTATCTTCAGAGTACTGTGGTCTGTATGATGCAGGAGGCCAGAGTAGGTGATGGCAGTGTATCCTCTGGCCTTTTAAGTTATAAACCTACGAAAAAGTTATTGACTGTAGACAAAAAATAATTTTTATCAAAAAAGATTAAAAAACTATGTAACTGTATATTTACTGGATAGGATGGGATGGAGAGACTCAAATGGCTCCAAAGGAGCCCTTTCAAGTCTCCTGGATAAATGTAATACATATTTTATATCTTCCTATGAATTCTTTTTTTTCTTTCAAAGTGGGGCAAAGGGAGGGGATAATTAAAGAAAAAGGGGTTTTTTAAGGCTAATTTTGTGAATGAAAATAACAGAAGCTAATGGATTCAAACGTAAGGGGCAGACTTACACTTTTTCTTAGAAGTGTGCTTCACGTCCCCAGTTGTTTGGTCAAGACCCCTGTGCCATTAGCACTGTGGGTTAAGAACAGAATGTAAGGCTTAATTTTTGAATTTTCAACTTTTTGGGACGGGTCTTACTTCACATGTCAGTTAAATGTAGCTTTTGGTACCAAATTATATAAAATCAAATCCTAGCTTGTTGGTTAGAAAAAAGTGAGTAGAGTAGAAAGTAGGTCTGCCTATAAGCAATGGAAGCATTACATTCCTATTCTAGTTTTTTACATTTGAACCATCGCTCAGGCAAACCTTAAAAAAGAAGCATAGCAAACTGAACAGTGAGTGTTCCAGGCACTGCATTTTTAAGAAGGTAGAAATGCAAGCTACCACACCATTAGCAGCCTAAATTCGAAATAGCGCAAGATGACTGGACTGAGGAGCAAGGGTAGGACTGCAGGGGCTTGCTCTGTCCTGGCTCCCTTATCTTCTCACAACATGGCCTAAGTTTTATCACCAATTGCAGAGGTGGAAGAAGCCATGCACCATGGCAGTAGGAGATGTGAAGCAGCCATTACAGAACAATAGCTCCCTGTCTCCTTTTATCGTTGTCAAGACTCTTTGGATAGCACTATTTCCAGAAGCATAAATAGATTACTGCAGCCCTATGAGCCATAAGGAAAATTGTTATTATCAATGGAGGGAACAAATGTCACTGGCCACTTAGGTATATAGCTGTGCTGTAAATCAAATAATATTGTGTGGGAACTGAGGAACAGATAACCTGTTATTGGATACAATGATATGGCCATGACTGATACATCATCACTGTATCGTTAGGCGTACTTCCTTAGCTCACACTACACAGACTGCAGACAGAGTGAGTCACATAGAAGACCATTTAAACATATGTCAGTTACAAAATCAGGTGTAAATATACCATATTCTCATAAAACCAATCTCTGATTTATCCATGTAAATCTATTAATTGTCTGCCACTAGTCTCATGGAAAAATGTGATGTATGAGTGAAATCTGTCTAACCCATACTTGTGACTTGTCTTCTGAGATGTCAGAGGCTGATAGAGAAAGACACTGTCATCTGTACCATCAATGCTGAAAATGGTAAGAATCAAAAGCATACCATCACTTGTTGCAGACTGGCTCCATTTGGTGTTTTATCTAAGGTAGCCTCTGTTAGGTAGCATAGATTCTGTATGATGTGGCATTATTTAATATATGTATGTAACTAGGAAAGCCCCCTAATAATCAAGAGACCGTGTTTTAAAGGATCATCTGTATGTAACCTCAGCAAG